TTCATTTATAGAAATAAAAATGAATTGTTGTTCGTTAGTCTCGCTAAAACTCGAGAACGGCTGATCCGATTTGGCTAATTTTGGTATTGAAATGTTCGTGGAAGTCCAGGGAAGGTTTAAAAGGTGAGAAAAATATTTTTGGGCGGTACGAAGTTTGCCGGGTCAGATAGTAAAATATATTTATATTGTTATATGATTATTGCATTTAAGGGTCACCATGATGGAACCGTTTAGAATAGAATAACCTTTAACCAATTTGAGACAGCCTTATTTTTATCCCTATTTTTTAAGTATATTCGTGTTAAACCGTTACAGACTAAGGGCCGAAACATATAACCGCGTTGCGTCGCCGTAACGCTAAAATCGGCAGATTGCGTTGCAGCGTTGCGGCGTCGTGAAAAAGAGCGTTTTATTGTCGTTCGGTAGGCTAACCAGATCGTCGTGATTTTTTACCCGACTGCCAAAGAAGGAGGGTAATGTTTTTCGAGTGTATGTAAGTATGTATGTATGTCTTTTCCTTTGTGACCACCTGTAGCCTAAACGGCTTGATGGATTTTGATGTATGAGGTATCGTTAGATTTGTCTTGATTACGGGAGTGTCATAGGATACATTTTATCCTAAAAGTCCCACGGGATAAAGACATAATAATATTTTTTCTAAATTTCCCTTTAAAAAAATATGTATGCGGTATCATTAGATTCATTTCAATCACGGGAGTAATTAATATAGGATACGTTTTTTCTCAAAATTCCCACGGGAACATGTTAATTCTGCGTCAACGCAAAGCAACTCATGCGTTAGCAAGCAAAAAGATAGGGCGTGGCCTGGCATGCGGCGCGCGGCGCGGTGCGGAGGGGGATATGCTCGAGTATACAGCCCGATTGCGGGCACACGCATGAGGGCACACGTCGTTGACGGTCGTCTCTAAATAGCGATTTTATTCGATATATCCCTATTTGTATATATCGAAATAAAAACAGCTAAAAAGTTATAAATAAAAAAATTATTATTAAAAAAACAAAATACCCGACTGCACACTAAAAAAAGAGTAAAACAAGCCCCACAATAATATTGATCAATCAAATGCTAAAAACTAATTATGTAATACCGTTTAAACAATACCTATATTAAAATACACTACAATATGTGTTCGTAATCGATAGTTAAATAAACAGAAACTTATTTTGAATACAAATTTACTGAATATAATTTATAAATGTTGATGGAATGCATCGCAGGCGGGGACCAACAGAGGCTTATTTATAGTCATTTCGGTTGTGCACCATTTAGCAGAATTTTCGTTGGTGGCGGTCAAGGTGGTCCCCGCCTGCGATGCTTTCCATCAACATTTATAAATTATATTCAGTAAATTTGTATTCAAAATAAGTTTCTGTTTATTTAACTATCGATTACGAACACATATTGTAGTGTATTTTAATATAGGTATTGTTTAAACGGTATTACATAATTAGTTTTTAGCATTTGATTGATCAATATTATTGTGGGGCTTGTTTTACTCTTTTTTTAGTGTGCAGTCGGGTATTTTGTTTTTTTATTATTGTGAATAGACGTATCTCTGGCATGGACCATCGTGAAAAACTTATTGCTTATTTGTTATTAACAAGACATTACTCTGCTATGCTGCAACGAGCGCTGCGTTGCGACGCCGCAACGCGGTTATGTGTTACGGCCCTTAATTCAATTTCAGTGAATTTCGAAAATGGAATATGTAATAGGAGTGTATACTAGGCGGACACCCTGATCAATACTGCTGTAGTTATAAAAGATAATCAATGCCCTTGTCATAAAGTCTAATTTAGTTTTCGTGCATCGTATGCCATTAATGACTAACAGATATAAATTTTATGTTCAATGTGTGATAAATTTTATTAATTTGACGTCACCTATATATTAAAGGTACGATCTCACTGCTTTAAAAAAATATTAGGATTTTTAGGGAAGAGGTGTAATGTGTCATATTTCCACAGATTGTAAAAAAGAGTATTTAAGTTATATTTCGCATACCTACTTATGAACTTTATATTACACTTAACTTGTTAATTAACTATATTGTAATCCTTTAAAAGTAATAAAGTTATTAATTCGATTTTGATTAGATTATTAGTATATTTGAAAACATCAAAATATACTTTTAAATCCTAAAATAATACGTTAAAAGTCTTGCATGCTAAAAGGTATTTAAAATCGCTAGTGTAGCAGATTTCATTAAGGTATTAATAATTATAAAAGCATACTTTGTTTGTCTGTTATTAGGTTCCAAAAACTAACACTATTATTGTCCAAAAGACAAGAGTAGCGAAATTGTCCACAAATATTAGTGAAATCGTTCTTTAATGTTAAATACAGTGTGTCCAAATTACGTTCACACCTCTGAAGTTTGTTATTCGACTGATAGAAAGAGATCGGAAATGAGATGTGAGACTAAGCGGACGTGCTTATTGTTGTTATTATAATGAGTCGTTCTTAATTATAAATATTAATTAGTAAAAACTTTTGCACACTTGCAAAAATAAAGTGTGTCGCGTGAAGTAAAGTGTTTGCGAATAACTTTATGTTGCATCTCTGTACACTGTGCAATATGAACTAAGTACTTTTAAAAAGTTATAAATTGTGTTAGTATGTCTAACCCAGGACAAAGACCTTTTGGGCGTAGCCAATTATTACGACGTAGTCCACCGCCGACGCCATCACCATCTGAACAGCAACACCAGAAAGACCCAGAGCCGTCAGCGTCCACTGAGCCTGTAGTAGAATTGATTTCTACGCCGGAGATCCAGAAATGGCTGACTTCTATTGACGCTTTTATGTCGGAAGTTTGCGGTATTGTCGCAGAAGGAAAAATGAATAACGACCAGAAACTCCGTGTCACAAATTTATGCCGTAAAGTCTCTCATGGGACATCGCAGATAGCGGTACTTTACCAGTCCCTGAAGCAGAAAACAATCCAAGCCCATGTTACCATCCAGCAATTACAAGGACAACAGGAAATTGCAAATTCCCTCCAAGAACTAAAAAAAGTTGTAGAAGCTGAACGTAAGTCAGACTGCACTTCCTATGCCAACATGGTAAAAAAAGGAGAGGACAAATTCATACGGCCAGCCAATCTCAGCTCCATTGCTATCTACCCTAATGATAAGACGCAGACCAGTGACGCAACCAAGAGCCTAGTGCAGAAAATTATCTCCCCTGAAGAGATGAAACTTCGTGTCCGCGGGTTGAAGAAAATTAGAAACGGAGGCGTTATTATCAGTGCGGATAGCAAAGGCGATATAGAGAAGCTGAAAACATCAGAAAAACTAGTTTCCTCAGGCCTCAAAGTCGAAGAACCTACTAAACGCCGACCACGTATTGCTGTCATTGGTGTCCCTGTAGCCCTCACTGAATCAGATGTCATGGAGTGCATCTATGAACAGAATCTCTCCGACAAATTGCCGAATACTACCCGTGCGTCCTTTTTAAATGATATTAGACTAAGCCACAAGTCTGGTAAGAAAGATCGTCCTACGTGTAATTATATTATAGAAGTTCCAGCGATAATCAGGAAATTGCTGATTAATCAAGGCCGTATCTTTATAAATTGGACATCATGCCCCGTAAAAGATTTTACAATAGTGACCAGATGTTTCAACTGCCAACAGTTTGGTCATGCAGCCAAGTTTTGCCGCGAAACAAGCCCTACGTGCAACCACTGTGGGGAGATGGGACATTCTTTTAAAGAATGTAACAATAAATCTTCCCCTTCCCAATGTGCAACCTGCAGGCGGTTCAAGCGGAAGTGTGACCATCCAACTGGTGATGTGAACTGCCCGGCACGCAAATATGCAGAAGACAGTTATATTCACACAATAGACTATGAAGGCGCCTAAGAGCGCCACCTATTTTATTTGTAAGTAGCACATAAACAGTAGTCTTAATTTCTATTTTTATCTTAACTTAATTACATCCAAACGATATGACTAATAATCTCCTAAGCGATATTGATAATTTTTCCGTATCTGAATCGATTGTCTGTAATGTTGAAAACTGCAAAAATTTTATTCCTACTAGTGATAAGTTACTAACTTTCCTAACTCAAAATATTCGTAGTATAAGTCGGAATTTTAATGGGTTTGAAGTACTATTACAGAACCTTGATATTAGCTGTGACGTCATTGTACTTACAGAATGCTGGTTATGTAAACAAACAGATAATTTGCCAATGCTGAAGGGTTATACTTTGTATAAAACTGCAATGAATATCAACCAAAATGATGGTCTGGTTGTATACATTAAAAATACCCTTACAGTATCAGTGCACGAACCCTTGTTTCAAGGCTGTAATAGTCTTTTAATTAAAATTAACCAAGATACAATAGTTTTAGCTGTATATAGGCCACCATCTCAAAATGTAGATATATTTATAGAATCGCTTAGTACTATTTTAGAACAACTTTCATGTTATAGTAATATTATACTGTTAGGTGACATAAACATAAATATTGCTTCTGGGAAAACTAACACTCATGCGCATAACTACCTGAATATCTGTACATTCCACGGACTATTGCCAGCCCATGATCACCCTACACACCAGAGTGGTTCATGCTTAGATCACATAATTATAAAATCTAAATTGCCCTCTAAAACTTACATTACTAATTCATCGCTTACAGATCACCACGCAATATTGCTAACTCTACAAATTTCATTACCTAGAAAAAACTGCATGCGTAGCATAACAAAACTAAATATGTTAGCACTTGAAAATGACATACGCGGCTTAAACCTTGACCCTGTTTACTGTTCCAATGATCCAAATATTAGTCTGCAGTATTTTATTGATTCATTACAAAAAATTATTAATAAGAATACTTCTAATAAAATTCTACCTAGAAAATACTGCAATATTAAGCCGTGGATTACACCCGGCCTGGTCCGTTGCATTCGACATAGGGATAAACTACACCAAAAACTACGACTCGCACCGGATAACGAGATACTTTCTGTTACTTATAAACGGTACAGGAATTTCTGCAATAATCTGTTGAAAAAATTAAAAACCCAATACGACAAAGTTCAAATACAAAAAGCTGGTAAGAATAGTAAACTCATTTGGGAAGTTGTTAAAAATAATACTTTTAGATCAAAGAAATCAGACTCTGCTCTAGAACTTTTAGAAACTGATACAACCCCAATTCTAGCGGCAAATAAAGTGAACAAATATTTTGTTGATATTGGTAAAAATCTAGCTGAAAAAGCTCTATACAGAAATTCCTTTTCGCAAAGTACAACTATGTCACTTACTACCTTAGGTTCGTTTGTGTTACTCGACACTGACGTTAAAGAAATAGTTAGTAT